TTTTCTCTTTTCCTCTTTCTCTTTCTACTTCTTCCATTTTCTAATTAGTTCTTACATAGAATTAATTTTCCTCCTCTATTTACGTTTTCTATAGTTTTTTAGGTCTATAATGTCTCTGACCACATATGGCTGTGAATCGGGGCATAGCTGGCCAACTGGCAAATAAAATTTCCCCCAACGTGTCGGAGGCATTAATAGACGCTTTGTGTTAGGCTTTCTTATCTTTTAAGTTTAGTTTAAATTGTTATATTATCTTTTATTATATAATCGACAGAATTATTGTTGATATTCTAAATAAAATAAAAAAAATAAAATATAATAATAATAATATAATATGATGTTTGATGGGAAGAAGAGGTGAGAATACACATTTCTAGTCACAATTAACAGAAGCTTTAATTCCAATTTATAATTATGAAATAAATTCTTTGGTATAGTGTTTCAAGATTTTCCCACTATGGGGTCAACAAATTCTTTGCTCCTCGAAAGCTGCCAGCACTTTGTCAACATTTTGAAGCCGTGCACGGACTCCTGGAAGTCGTCTGTGGCTTCATGAAAGCACCAGGGGCTTGTGTCATCTGCATAGCAAGATGCAGAGCAGGACATTTGTATCGTCAAAGGGGACTGCCGAGCCAGTAAGTATATATCTAAGAGTATACACATATGTACAAGTATAATGCCATTTAATTTACTTTAATTGCGCTTTTTTATATTTGACTTTTTATTAAGTTACGAGATATAGTTCTATACCATAACAGGCAAAGGATTAGGATTGTCTGTGAGGAGGAGGATAACCCTGTTTATAGATTTTCATTTTCAATTAGAATTCTAAATATTAAAATAAGACTTATTTAAGTTTTGTTTGTTATATTCCAAGTAAAGTTGAATTTAAATGAAATAACAATAAAACAAACTGCCAAAGCTGCCGCATTAAAAAGCTGACATTTATTCCATTGAGAGCACAGTTGTAGACTATTTCCGCATTTCTTTCATTTCGAGGTCCTTTGGCGGCCCAAAAGTGCAAAGTTCCACTGTACTTGTGCGGTCAGCGCTCCTGTGGCGCTGCATTAAGTGCTGTTCCATGTGTGTGTGTCCCTGGCTTTTTGAATAAGGCGTATTTATAAAATTGTGCATAATTTGAGCGCAGTGGTTGCACATGCATGTGAATGATTGCTGAAAAGCGAAGCGATGCGGGCCAGCCGGTGGGGATGGAGGGGCGGGAAGGAGGCGGGAAGGAGGCGTTGAACAATGATGCTGAGACTTACAGTGGCTGCAGACGACGCGTCGTCGCCGGCGTTGTCGTTACCGTTTACGTCTCCGTCGACGTCAACTTCGCGAACACGGCAAGTTGCAAGAGTACGCCATAAAAGCATAATGAAGGATAATGAGTTCTTGATTAGTACAAAGTGGAAAATTGTGTATTTTTGCTTGGCGTTGGTGTCGCGCCCGATTCAAGGATGTGCGTCTGTTTCTGTGTGTGTGCGTGCGTGTGTTCCAGGCAGCAATTAACTGTAATTAGGAACTGTGCAGAAACTGCTCTGCTACCGCTACTGCTACTGCTACTGCCACTGCCACTGCTACTCTTGTTTACACTTCGCCATTATGCGGCGCTGCCCCAAAGTATGCAACACAATTCGCAATTACTTAACAACGAAAATGCATAAACTACAATGGCGGACACAATAACGATGACGACGACGACGATGGTGACAATGATGACCATGATGATGATGAAAACCATCCTCACAGAGATGGCCTCAAACGAAACAAATGTGCAAGCAACTGGCATCTTTGATTTATTATTTGATTAGTCTTCCCATCGCATATCCGATATATGGAATAATATAGCTAATACCTTTAAATATGCATACTCGTGTGTTTCAAATCTTTTTAATTATATTTTGGGTAGTTTACTTCTGTAACTATTTTATGCAAATCTTTGAGGAAAGTTGGTAAAAAGCATCACAATTGTTTAGTTATGATTTGAAACAAAAGCGAACAAAAAAGAATTTAAATCAAAACGTGATTAAAGGCGATTTTACATTCATATTTAAAATATATTTCTAATATAGCATGATCCTCATATATTTTTTAGCTGTCCATAAGTATATGATATATAATTTTATTCACTCAAAACGGATGCACCTGAATTTATCTGTAAACAGCGATTCGCAGCCGCATCTGCATTGATTGCAGATGTCTAGGCGGGAAACGCGACTCTGAATTCGATTTGTTTCAATTAGAAAGGCTGCAACGATGTCTCGATACACACACTCACGCTCTGATGCCCATCTCTGGCACTCAACATGGCTATGATGACTGGCCATAGTCAGATGTTGATGTTGATGTCGATGTCGATGATGGGCAACCACATTGCAGATTGAACAACGACTGGGCAGTGAGCAAATAGCTAAAAGCACATTTTATACAACAAATACAAAAATACACACACAGATGGACGCGTGCTGCGCAAACAGGCGGGAGGAGTTTGAGCTTCAGATTCAGGATGCGCGGCCAAGTGAGTGCGAGAACGCGCTTAAAAGTAAATAAAAATTGAAATAAAATGCAAAAATCAACACAATTCCCACACTCTCCACTCTCCACTCCCCACTTCCCAATCTTTTTTTCACATTTGGCCGCAGCCGCAGCCACTGCCGCTGTCAGGCTTTTACTGTCGCGGGCTTTTCCTTACCGTGCCTCTGCCATTTTTTTCTTTGATTTTTTCATATACTACAAGTATATATATATATCTGTATATGTATATATGTATGTGTATATAGTATTTCTTTTTTTCTGCATTTCCGCATGCGCATGTAAATCGACGATTAATCAAAATACCACTTTCGGCAATTGTTGCTGCAAATTACATTTTTCGCTGACTGAAATGACAAATTTACACAATTGGTTTGGGGAATGTGGGTTGCCGGGCTGGCTGGCTGTCTGATGGTTGGCTGGCTGGCTGGTCTGGTCTGGTCTCGTCCGGGTCGCATCGGTAGTGGTCGTGTGGGGATGGGGGATGGGGAATGGAATGAAGAGGTTTTTGAAGTGCAGCGGCAAATTGCAGAAGTTGATGAAATAAGTGAAAATCGAGCGGCCACAATAACAGCAACAACGACAGCATCAACATGGTCCACAACAATGCGCAATGGACGCCATTGGCAATGCTGGAAAGTATGCAACAAAAGCAACATGCAACAACACAACACAACAACAACAAAACGAGACCGACTTGTGTGGAAGGGAGGAGAGAACATGTGTAAATATGAAAGAAACGATTTAACAACATGTAAGCAAAGTGTACGAGCGTAAGAGCCAGAAAGCAAATGGCCAAAGCGTGTGAGCCGTAAAAAAAGAAGGATTGAAGGCGAAATGGAAAGGGTTGCAGTGCCTCCGACAGCCCTCTGCCTCTGCCTCAGTCTCAGCTTCAGCTTCAGCTTCAGCCTCTGCCTGTGCCGTCGTCCAGTCGCTGCGAGGACGGTGTCATTGCCATTGCCGTTTGTGCATTTCAACTTTTTAATAACATTAATTAAAAGCGTCGAACTGAATGGGGGAACAGCAGCAGCGAATCAACAAACAAAAGCCGCGAAGCAAACAAACAGTACAATACGATACGATATGAAACGAAACGAAATAAAACGCTAGGCACACAGAAAAAATATGAAAAAGAGAGCAGTAAGCAGTAAGAACTGAACAAACTTAATACACCCTAGCAACAATTTCTACGAGTTTGTAAGTAGGTCTACTCATGGATCGAGGATATTACCTGCAGGCAGATGCTGCCCATTGAAAAACTGCTTCTCAAAGACTTGGGATGCAGCTCGAGACTAGCGAATGGTTGTTTTTATTGGTTTTTTAGTAGACACTTGAGTTTGTAAAACTTTGGCTAAAACTATCGTGAGATAAAGTTTCCGATCTACGAATCGGTTATAAATCATTTTTATATGATTCCATACACTTTTCGATAGTAAAAGCAAACCTAAAACAGTTGCTTATTTTTATAGTAATTGTAATTTGTTTGTTTTTATAGTAATAAGACTGAGCTTTTGATTGAGCTGCGTCTATCTAATAGAATATTAAAAGTAATAGTAATTGTAATAGTACTTTTTAATAAAGTGGTTCAAAAATATTTCGGATATAAACACAACTAGTGATTTAAATAGACACCAACACATTGATGTATAAACTTGTATATAAGCAACTGTTTTTCATTTAAACTTCATGATTGATTCCTTCGCTGGAAATCGATCGGTTTTGTCAAGAGTTTTACGAAAAGTACCTAAAACAACAACAAAAAAATAAACGTAAATAAAATAAGTTGCAATTTTATAAGTTTTAGAATTGTTATATTATTAGACCATCAAGAAGTGTTTCACTAGCTTAGTTTATAAAGCAATTAGCTGAACATATTGCTATTGTTGATTGAATGTTTCCTAAAAATGTTGGCACTGGAATTCCTAAATTTAAGAATAAAAGCTAACTTTTTGCTATTAGGTTTATTGTAATAGTATACAGCTTCAATTTATTGAACCAAATTAATAAAACTAGCAAGATTGCTGTTGAAGTCATTTACCCATTTCTTTTTATTAATACAATGAAAGAAAGAAAAACAATGAACAAATGTTATGTTTTCTTCAATGAAGGTAGTGAAAAGTTGAATTTTTCCATAACTGTATTTAATGCTAAAAAGACGTAAATAAGCATTTATATACTTTGGCGAGTTTTCAAGTTTTTAATTAGGACATTTATGTACATTTGTTGCCACTTCTGTGTGTCACAAATGCAATGGAATAATTGTAATACTCCTGTACTTTTCTAACATAGCCATGAATAGCTGGAAAACTCAAAGGGAGAACAAGCAAAGAGCAACTAACAAAAGCGACGACTACAACTGGGACTGCGAGTGCGAGTGCGGCTGTGGAGGGAGACCAAAAAATATTAATGAATGACTAAATAAGGCAAATGAATTCAACGCAACTGAACTCGTTTTCCATATTCCTCAGCAAGTGGCCACAAAAGTTGCGAGCCAACGCCCAGGCACAGAACCATAGTCATAGCCATAGTCATAGCCATAGCCATAGCCATAGCTATGGCCCATACCAATGGCCAGATTCATGAAACGACTCATGCAGCCATGAGCGATGAGGGTGAGGAAGAGCATGATGATGTGGGGGAGGGCGAGGGCGAGGGCCAGTGCGAGGGCGAGGGCGAGTGCGACGGTGAGGGGCCTTCAGAGTATTCGGAACAGTCGGACAGTGGCCGCTTTCTCATTGTGCGCATAAATTCGTTGGTTAATTAATCACCTTTCGCTTTGTTTATGGCTAATTTAATTAATTTGATGTCTTTTATTGTGCCACTACTGGCAGTTGAAATGAAACTGGAATTGAAACCACAATAAGTGCCACACACACACACACACACAAATAAACATACATACAAGTACACTTGGAAAATAATTACGAGCCATGATCAGATGCATACTGCACTTTTACTTAAGAACTTTCTGTTTACTTTCTTTATGCAACTGTTTAACTTTTGATTTCTGATTGACAATTTATGTGGAAAATATAATTTTTATCAATATTTCTTGCTACCGAGCTAACATTTTCTCCCACATTTTTAAGACTTTGCACCCAACATTTTCTCAAAGCAAAAGTGTGCTTCAATATTTGGATGCCAAACTGTAGTCTGTAGTCGAGGAACTCATCGATATTACACGTGGGGGCACTTTTTCTCAAAGTGTTCTGAAACTTGGCGAATTATTCATTGCATTGGCAAACATTTTCCCAGCTGCGTCAAATTCTTGATGACCATAACAAACTTTTATTTACTTTGCGCTTCTCGCTCTCTCTCTCTCTCTCTCGCTCGCTCTCCATCGCTCTCCCTCACTGTTAGCTATTTCCTCACTCTAGTTTCTTTGGCTCTCTTCAGCTTGTGCGCTTATTAATTTTAATTTGATTTGTATTTAATTGTTAGTTTGTGATTCACATGAAATCCGCAGCTGCCCAATTGCCTGGCATGTTTGTCATTGTCATTATCATTATGATTATCGTCATGATTATCATTAGCGTCATCATCGTCGTCATAATGATTGCCTTCGCCGCTTTTCTGATGACTTGGCTCGAATGAAGCTGTCGAAGCAGAAAGCGTTAGTTATGCCCGTTTTGTGTCGTTTCATTTTGCTGCTCATCGTCACCGCATTGTCATGGCCCATTGACGCTGCCCCCGTTCCTTTCCCCGTTCCTGTTCCCACCCCATACCATTCCATTCCATTCCCTTCACTCATTCTTCACACTTGACTCTTCATTGTCGTCGTCGTCGTCGTCGTCGTCGTCGTCCATTTCATTTTGTTTTGCTTTGCTGATTTTGCTTATGCGAATTTAATTTACCGCAAGTGAGAGATGCGACCATTAGCCAAAGACTTAGCGCCTTTAATTACCACACGCCAACTCTATGGCCCATCAATAGTTATAGTATGTAGCTATAGAAACAGATAGTTACAATAACAATACGAGTATGCCACAAAGCATGTCTCAAATATTCCGCTCGATGGCTGGATGACGCAACATTAGAGTCCGTGTCGTCGTCTCTGTTTCTGTTTCTGCCTCTGCCCCCATCTCTCTTTCTGGGAAGCTGCACAAGCAAAACTTGTCGGCTTTGCTTTTCTTATTGGCCATTGGCCCGTGCTTGCAATTAGCCATGCAATATTTTTTATTTATATCTCCCTATTATACGAGTAGCTGGCCACCAAGCAAAGGGTAACAAATTTGCTTTAATTATTTCTGTGCGTCGCTGTGAGTGGAGATTATGTAATAAGACCTAACAGAGCATTGGACTTTTGGCATGGCTGTTGAACTTGGGAATTAGAGTTGGGCCAGCAAGGAGTCTAGCAGCTTGGAGAGGCAGAATGAGGAACAGCGTGAACAAGGATAGTGAGAAGACAAAGCTGCACAGAGCATAAAGTATGAAAAAATTACTCGAAGCGGACTTTAACGCCAGACTCCACGCCAACCAACAATCGACAAAATTAGAAACTAGTGTTAAAATTTAAAGTTGCAAATCGGACGTCTATAATCCTTAGATTCTCTGAGTTGTTAACTTAATAAGTAGGTTTTGGAATAACTGATAAGGTCCTAGATAGTGAAGCCACACTATAACTGCAAGCCCCGAATCGTTGATTTTTTCAGGGACTGTAATAATGATTTATTTTCAATTTTATTTAACAACTTAACCAATAATCATTACTTCAAAAAAATAAAATGATTATTCTTTAAATTTTATTTTGTTGATCAAAAATAAACCTCAAGTTGTAATTGTCCCTGCCTTTTTTTCATATTCCTTAAAAGATAAGCTAAGGCCAACTCCTATAGCACTGTTTTGGGCTAAAACAAAACATTCTTTAAAAAATATTTTCGAGCAAAATTACAGCTTGAGTTTAATGGATTAAAATTAATATTTAATCAAATTTAATCATGTTACTAAGCTGTTCTTACCCTTTCCCCGACTACTAGAGCCACAAAATGTGCTTAAAGTTTGGAATAGATTCCTTTAAATATGCATTTATTTAATAGGTTGCTTTTGCGGTTTGAATTTCCATAAACCACTTACGTAGCAGTTATGCTTATGATATTGTTTATGATAAATGGCTTAGAACGGACTTTCATCCAAATAAAAGACATTCATCCAATAAGAAGAAAATAACATAAACAAGACCCCCGCCCATCGTTCAACTGAATCAAAGAAATCAAAATCATGATTTCATAAAACAGAAAAAAAAACCAGCCCTTCACCATGGATCTTATCGGCTTCCAGTTTAAGATGTTATAAGGTAAAGGCTTTAGTGTGGTGCCTAATATTGGCATTATAATCGGGTTGGCTTTAATTTGTGCGTGGTTGTCATGACAGACCATTACAATTACTAATCCAGCACTATTGGTCTGTTGACAGGGACCTCAATCACTTGAACCCTTTTGTAATAACTTTAAAACGCTTTGCCGGATGCTGCCCCTTCTCCCTGTTAGCGTGCTAGAAATGTAATTCGTTTGTCATTCGAGACAAATTCCATGCAATTTTGTTGCTATCGCAACACCCAGCCCCTAGTACTAGACTAGCCTCAATCACAATCTCAAACACAGACCCAACCAGGCCAGGCCCAGGCCCAGGCCCAGACCCACACCCGGACCCACATCCAAATCTAGATCCGGATTCATGCCCAGACCGTGTTTTCACGCTCGCACGTAGTTCGTTGTTTTTAACGCTTCGTCTATTTTATTTTGTTTTTATTTTATTTGCTGCTGCTGCTGCGGCTGTTGTTGTTGCTCTTGTTGCTGTTGTTGTTGTTGTTGTTTCTTCACTCGTTTGTTTGTTTGTTTACTTTACTTTTACACAATAGCCACATTCTCAACACCCGAATTCCAATGCTAATTCTAATTAAGCGCATTTGATGAAGCAAACGTGCCAGCGTTTTTACTTCATAAAGCGGGCGAAACAAAAACGATACCAAATGAAAATGAAAATGAAAAAAAAATAAAAATAAAAAAACAACAACAACAACAAGAGTAGCAACAGAAGCGGAAAAAACGGCAAGTTTCGCAGCTCGAGCTGAGCGCAGATAAAATTTCAACGCGCACTCATTAAAAACTTTTGCAACAGCAATAAACAACAACAACAACATCAAGAACAACTACAGCAACAATAGCGATGAGGACAAAAAATGAATAAATAAAATAAAATGAAGCAACCACACACACACACACACACATACACAAACGGGAAGGAGAAGAGGAAAAATTCATTGTCATTGTCAAAATAAATTTTGCTTTTGAAATCCATTAAAGGTTTCATTTGCCCCAAAGACGAGTAGCTTTGAGTAGAAGAGGAAGACCAGCACCAAGTATCTGAGGAACAAGATGACTAAGAACAAGAAGAAGAGCAAGTTAGCCAAATTGTTGGAAAAGTGCAAACGCTATTTGTATGTATATATGTGTATGTGTATATGTATGTGTGTGTGTGGCAGAAAAAATTGAAATTATTACAAAACTTTTGTGATTATCTTGGCCGATGACGACGTCTTGCTTTTTTCCCATTTTTCCCCCTCGTCCGTTCTTTTTTTAACAGTTTGCAAAAATACAATAAAAAAAGAGGGAGAGGGAGAGAGAGAAAGAGAGCGAGATAAGGCTCGAGACACATAAGAGGAGGCGGGGGAGGAACAGCACAGGAAGTGGAATTTGTTTCGCCCAATAACTGTCAATGGCATGGCCAAGTGGTGGGGCGTGGTCGTTGACAATTGTTGCGCCCCCAATAGCGGGAAGGTCGTTCAAAATGCCGGCCACTTAATAGAGAGATTTATGTTAATCAAGCAAAAGTATTTTTGGATGATTTCCTCTCATTCTCCTCCTTCATCTCCTTCCACTTCTTCGCTGAAAGTGAAAATTCTTATGTAATATGCTAATATCTGTGTTTTGTATATTGGAATTTTTTAGCTATGGATTACGAAAGATTTTTGTTTTTATTTCATTTTTTTTTTCTGTGCGCTTTTTTTAATTTCAGATTTATGGCAATCGCATAAAGAAAGCGAGACGTCGGCCGCAACGACCACGAGACACAGTGGAATCAATATGGGAAGCACTATTTTAAATACAAAATGTAATTTCGACTAACTTACTATACTATACTCATCATTCGTCTGATCTGCATGGATTATTTAAAACGTTCTCTAAAACTTCCTGCTGCTTACAAACATTTTTCCCCATTGCCCGTTAAAGGAAATAGTTATAGCTATAGGAACGTACCGAAGTCATTTACAATAATCGAATCGCCTATTTTAATAGGCAGGCGGACAAACAATATATATATATATATTAATTCGTCTCGTTATGTTAACCATATATGTACATATTCGTATAACTTTTGGTCTGTCATGTACTTGTATACTTCTGTGTTCTGCGGGATATAACAATTTAAAATAATATTGTTAAAATATTCAAACGCTTAATTGTTATTTAAACAATTTATAAATTGCTAGCACAGAAGGATTTTATTTCATTTTTATATTTTTAACACTAAAGCCTATTTATCACAAAGAATGTGTGGGTAGGCAGCAGATTTGTTTACCAATACCAATTATATAATATTTCTTTATGTTTTTATGTCTTTCGATCTTTATTTATAACCACAATCAAAAAATATACTAAGAAATGAAAAATGCAAGATTCTGAAATTTTTAGTTGTTCAGAAAACGTTGGAAAAAACTGACATCAAATTGTAATAGATATTTCGAACTCAAACTGTTCCCAACTGAATTATTAAAATGCGATGGGTGAATAGAATAAAATAGCATCAGCATTTCATATTTCGATAATAGATTATAAGTAGTATGCAAATATATATAGAGATATAAGATTATACGCATCAGCTGAAAAGAATGCCAATCACATAGTTTCTTAAGCATTTCTTTCGAATTAGTCCCACTGTATGGGCAAGATGTTGAGGCAGCTGTGTAGAATCTGTGGCTTGGCCTAATAGTTTTTTCAGTCTGTCTTTTTATTTCTGCTTGATAATCGATGACAACGACAACAACAACAACAGTCGTTTGAATTGTTTTCCTTCCGAGCATAGCGAGTGACTCGTTCATGAATTTATGCATTTCTTTTTTTTTTTGTTTTTTTTTTGAGATATCTGTTTGTTTATTCCATCTAAGCGTTTTGGCTGCTACTATGTATTATGAAGCTTGAAGACGTGTATTTCTTTCTGTTTATTTTTCATTTACATCCATATTTTGTTTTTGCATATTAAGCTGCGCTCAAATTAATTAATTAAAATAAAATTAAGCGTGCATGTGAATGGAAAGTTGTGTTTAATGGCTATAAGTCAACTCCTGCCCTACCTCCTCTTCTACCTACTATTCCGCTTTGATAATGAGCTTTAAAATAATTTATTAACGCACATAATTTTGTGGATTAGATAATGGACAAGAAAATAATATTAAATAGCTGTTGATACAAGTATTCAATTTTTAAGTGAAAAATGCCAACATTTCCGAGCATGAATATAAATATATTACATTATATATGTTCATAAAATTTTATTGAAAATGAGGTTGGCGGAAATATACTCGAAGGTGAAAGGTTTTCGTGCTTTTAAACAAAGCTGATTCGGTATTTGAGGGCAGTGGAAAATTGAAAAAAACTGCATGAATTCATTTGTTACAAACATTTTAGATATTCAGTTCTTATATTGATAGAAATTCCCGAGAGAGATGTTGCTTAATGTCGATAGAATGCTAATAGACGATTGATGGGTGAAACACATAGTAGAAAAGCTTGCATCGAATGGCTTTGCAAATAAAAAACATGGAAAGAGTCGATGATAGATTACGCTGGTGACATTTTAATGGAAGGGGGGCCTTAAACTTTCCGTTGAAAAACTTTTTAAATCATATGCCTTCAAATCTTGAACAATGAGATGTGCAATTTAAAGTAACACAGTCGCTATACTTATTAACAATTGAAATACAATTTTGTAGCCATTCAATTATTTAAATATTCAAAGAAAAATAGAATTCCTGTTTATTTTGATATAATTTCTGCTTGTATGAATGTCGAAACTAAAACTGTTGATTCTTGAAAAAATAATCGTAATAAATGTAAGTAGAAATAAAGCAATGGACTTAAATATGAAAAGAGGAATAAATGCAAAAGAAATGGGAAATATGATAAATGTAAGAAATGGATTTTAAACAAGCTTTTTATACGAATTTTTGTATTAAGTTAACACTTTATTGTATTATGTTGTCAAAACAAGTGTTTTCAAATTAAATGATTACGAGCAGACATATGGAGTCGGCAGAAAATGTTGCTTAACATTAAACAAATTAAACAAATATGTATATAAGTTGTGGAATGGAAGTAAGTTTTAAAACAATTTTGAAGAAATTCAAAGCTGATGAGCATCTGCGTTGTTTCAATAAATAAAACCAAGCCGGAAAAATAAACGAATATGCAATTCATTTAATATACTTGGAGAGGTTTCGAAATGATAACGAGTGTGGCACAATAAAAACGTTTCAATTAAATCAAAGCCCGACTGTGAAATACCCTGCATGCAAACAAACTTGTTCGCTGAAAAACTTAGTACTGGAGGATGATGAATTCGTAAATACCAATTCTTATTATAAATCAATTTCGATAAAAGTAAATGAAATAAAAGTATAGATTTAATTAGAGGCTCATATAATTAATAAATTTGCATTATTAGGCTATAATATGTACACCCTTTCTAACCTACGCTTTTTAAGCATTTAGGCTAATATTAATTGCCAACCAACCAACAGCAAAAAAACAAAAATAATAAATTAACTAGGCTAAATAAGAGCTGAATCAAATACAAATTTCGAAATAATTTTTGTTGCCCTTACCTCAATAAACAGGTGGCCATGTGAAGGCGTAGTTATAGACTGCGACATGGGTTGGTTGGGAGTCGGTCCAAAAACCACAGATCCATTATTATTACTCGTTTATACGCGCATACATTCTCATATCTATACGAGCACTCGTATACATACATATATAGATGGTTAAAGAGCCCGAGTCAGAGTCAGAGTCAGAGACTGGCAGACACTTTTAATTAGCGCTTAATATTAAATTCAATTCAATTCGATTAACAATTATGGACCGCACGTAGGCGCTTTTATTGCATAATTGCTGGCTGTTTACATTGCAGCTCAAACATTTGCTCGAAGCGCAGGCAAACAAATTTTAAGCAAAATTCCCCTGTGCATTAAAAATACATACAAATGTATGCACTATTGGTATACGAGTGCTCGTATATTTAAATATGTGCATATATATACCACACACACTATAGAAGTATATACACATATATATACTATAGTATTTATTTATTTTAATGTCGGCTTAAAGTTACAATGCATGTTTGTTGTTATTTTCATTTTAATAAATTACGCAAAGTTAAATAAATAAATAAATTAAATAAAATGCAAACAAATCACAAAAATGTGCGCTGATAAGCAACGAAGCTGATGCCGGCGTCGATTCCAATGTTGTTGTTGCTGTTGTTGTTGTTGTTGTGCCGATTCTGACTTCAATAGGGACTACTACAGCAGCAGTTCTTAATCAGGGAGTGTTCATAGCAGGTTTTGGCGTAGAGCAGCGCACAGTCATAGTAGAGGCATTGCGGCGGCTTCCCAGACCCTGTGAACGCAAATTAATTTTTTATACGCCGAGCACACAGAGCAGGCGACAAATGCATTAAGAGGAAATTGAATTGAATGGCATTTATGCAGGTAATAAATGCGGCGATTAAAAATGGCGCATGAATAATGAGACCATGAGACCCTTAATGGCAGCCGGAATGCAATGAAAAACAAAAAACGAAAACAAAAAAACAGAACAGAAATAATAACCAAAAAAGCCCTAAAACCATAAAAACCAAAAAGCCGGCGTTGCAGAATTTTTAAACCAAGCGCCAGCGACTATGGACTGCGGAATATCATTCCTCCCTCCATATTGTCAATACTTAAAAAAAACTGCGACATTCTAGCTACCATACAGATAAGTAGTATTGTGGTATTTATTCCACCTATGGTTCCTACTATGCAACAGCACCAGAGGCATGTTGTGGTCAAGTTTTAAGTCCGAAGTCTAGACGTTCATACTAGGTGTGTTAATCCTCCAATGCTCGTCGAATTTGTATAGCAAAGATATATGATTAAATGAAAATGCCCTAACTACGATTAAAGTTTGCAAAAAGACAATGAAATGTTTCTTTAAAATAAATAAATAGACGAGCTCGAGTAAATAGATATGGAATGGATTTTAAATGCAAATGGGATGCGATTCGCTTGAAATGTTAGCATAGGATTTTATTTTGTTGAACACCTTTACCTGCAAAGTCACAGCAACAGGCATCGTGGACCACTTTGTGGGAGCAATAGCTATAGACAGATGCATCGCAGAGCGGACAGCCTGGCGGACTGCCTGGATATGGCAATGCACCGGGATATATGGCGCCCGGATAGGCGCCAGTGCCCAAAGCATTTCCAAAGTTCTGATTGCCAAATTGGCGTGCTACGTGTAATATTCGAGTAGATATAATGAGTTATTGCCAAATAGCTTTTTCACTTACCTTGCTTGCCACCAGCTGCAATTTCTAGCTGCATTGTTAGGCAAAGCAACAACGCTACGCCAACCGGGCGTATGCGCAACATTTTTATTTCACTTCTTCACTTTGTTGATGGGGGCGCTTGTTAATAATGTAGTTGTTGTTGTTGCTGTTAGTGTAGTTGTGGCAGTTGCTTCTGGTGCTGCGTGCAGTTTGCGTGTTGCCGGTTGCTGCTAACAGCGACAACTGCAGGCCAACCAACTTTTATAGAGCGCTGCCCGCATGCGCAGCTTTCGGCTTTCGCTTTCAATTTTGTTTTTTTTTTTTCGACAAGTATCGTATCTTTAGCCACATCTTGAGACAAGCCGTAGACCCTCAGACCAGAGGAGCCAAACATTTTTGATGGCTTTTTAATCGTGCTGGCATGCAGAGCTCTCAATGGGTGCCGACGCACATGGCAGTTGCCACTTTCAAACACACGCACACCAACACGCACACCAACACGCACACACACACCAACACACACACACACACACACTGACAGACACTGACAGACGCACAAGTGTAGAAAACTAGTATACAGTGCGGGTTGTTTGAATGGTTTCCATTCGAATTACCGTCTACCATATCACGATCATAAATATACAAATGGACGACCAAATCACTCTGCAGATATTATTTATGGCAAGCCTAAACACATAAAAAGTTGCATATTTAAATTTTTAAATCATTTATTAAAAAAAACACACACATTCGAAACAAATGTTTTCCCATTCTTATATCTTTATTCAAAATAGTGTTTACTTTTAAGGCATTCATATATCGTTTATTGACTACAAATTCTCACTAATTCTTATTTTATACGTTATTTATGATTACGTGTGCTATATTTAATTTTAACTAAAATACAGTAATAATATATTTTTATTAATTTCCTTTTATTGCTAAGATACTTAATTTAATGTTGGCTCTATTTCAATTTTTATAATTACATTTTTATTTTATTTCACTGTTTTTAGTTTAGTTTTATTTGTATTTGGTGTGTAACTATGGAAAGCATTTTCATAGAGAAACTATCTGAGCACACTTCAGTTGGAATTTAGTAAACATTTCCTCTTTCGCATACCTTCCCTTTGTTTTGTATTATTATTTATTTTTAGTTTTATAACAATTTTGTTAGGTTTTTGTTATGCACTTCATTTTTTGACTGTTTCTATTAAATTGTAGTTTCGTTTCAGCTAACATGCATTTGTTGCACTGTCGCAATTACATTTTGATTTACCCTTTTTCACAATTTTTAGCTTTATTTTCATTTCTTTTATTTATCTACAAGTACTTTAACACAGATTTCATTGATTTTATTTTGCTTTCTTTAACATTGTTGCATTATTTGCAATATTTAGTTGTGTTTTTTTTATGACCCTATTGCACATCAGCTTTGATTGGAGGTTTTAAAGTTTTCAATCTCTAGCTCTCCATATTGAAATGAACACCTCTGTTCATCTGCATAGGACTGCGTGTGTGTGTGTCTGTGTGTGTGCCTTGTCTGCACTTCAGAGTAATCTGACAATCTGCTAATCCGACAATCTGCCTGGCAGTTGAAAGTTACGCTGCCGCCCATATTTGGTTCTGCCTTGAAACATTTTGACAAATCTTTGATTGGCTCGACCCACAATTCTTTCCGACACGTCCACCCCTCCCCCACACCATGGACAGCTGATGACATGCGTTGTTTCCTGTCAAATGATTTGAAATCTATATGCGTATGAGCTTCGATTGGCAGCATTTTGTTATTAAAGGTCGCCCGAATGCACTCCGGTCCCTGGCATTTCACATTTCATTCACCACCTGCTGCTAGGCCGAGAGCCCTAACAAGACGAATCAGACAGACCCGCCTCATAAACAGCTTCAATTACAGTTGGCAGTTGCTGTTGTTGTGGCTTTTCTTGCTGTTGTTGTTGTTGTACTGAATTGGACGGCAGGGCTCTGATTAAAAGCCAAGACAAAACGCAAAAAAAAAACACAACAAGAAAAAATGAAAAAGTCTTGCAACCTTTTAAACTTTTACTTTGGCTTTTTAATTGCCCATCTTTCAACATCGACAACGACAACAACAACAACAGCAACAGCAACAACAACTGCTCGGAGATGCAGCACCATTAGCCGTGCGAGCCATTTTCCCAGAGATGCGGCAACAAAGACGTCCGCTTATGTAAAATTAATAAGACATAAAAATAAACTTCGAATTATGCGCATAAAACAAACAGACGAATTTTTTTGTTTTGTTTCTGTTTTCTTCCCCTCTCTCTCGCATTTAAAGCGAAACGTTAAGTAAAAGTCTATCTCGAGCTTCCTCTCTCACTCTTACTCTCTTACGAATTTTTGATGGTGATTGGGCCGATCGGAACAATCAGAAGTATCCGCTGGCATGCGGCGCACAGTGGGCCCTCAATTATTGAGCATTGCTTGCGGATATTGTGCATAATCAGTGATCGAGCTTGATTTATAATTTTGCTCATTTCACAACTAGACATGATTAATTGAGGTATACGAGTAGATGGTATGCATGAAATATTTAGAGAGAATTATTAAATGCAACAAACTACAAAAATCGAATAAGCGGGTGTTCTTGGAAACGATTGACTGATATAATCGTTCTTGCTAAGCTAAAAGTTAAGACTACCATTGTTTAGTTTATGCTAGATAGGTATGTCTCGATCGTTCCAGGCCCCAAAACCTAGACTGACCCCGGCCTAGCCACACAGTCTGGATCTGCCTCGGCTCCATACGATCAGGCACTTGAAGTCTCCTGAGCCTTAAGCCCCAATACTGAATGAAATATTTTATATTCCTTTTGCCGTTTCCTTTGTTTTGTGGTTATAATTTCATAATCGATTGGAAGTTCCTCAAAGTTAAGTTCCTTGCTTTGCTGTAAGCAATACAAATTAAGAATAAATAATTATTCTTCTGTCAACTCATTGCTGATTTGCAGTAAAAACAAAAATGATAAAAATGCATTAACAAATTGCTTCAAAATGTGAATTTTCTATGGTTTTTGTTTTTGAGAAATTCTTCTTAAATTGTTGAGAGTTGTTGAGAGCAAAAAGAAAAGCATGTTTAGTTTTAAAATCAAGAAATTAATTGCTTGATACGGAAATAATCGATTTCTGACTTTTTGGGCTAGGATTTGTACGCAGCTTTTCATAGAGCTGTTGAATCGATGAAATACTTGTATATGCAAGGGCCATGATGAAAGAGGCACTAAATACAAAATTGGAAATGAATCTACAAATCAAAGCGCTTAATTTTCAACTTACACTTCTTAGATAGACGATTAACAACATTCTATTTTTATCCATTTACTTTAACAGAAGAATCGATTTGCTTTCTAAAAAATTTCCATATAATTTTATACGCAACTATTCCAGTCTCTGTCTTGGCAGAGTTAGTTGCTCAGAAGCCAACAACCCGCACTATGCTAAGAATTATAGAATTGGCCGAGTGCAAGGAATCCCATAAATAAAAAGCTGAAGCTTCAGCCGAAGCTGAAACCAAAGCTGCGGCTGCCTCTCAAGCCGTACCGTCTGTTTGCAAATAGCTCCCAAATGTAATTTCATTTAATTAACTTGCCACTTTTGATGTTACAAGTATTGTAGATGCAGATGCATGTTTTGTTATTGTTATTGTTATTGTTGTTGTTATTGTTGACAGTGTGCTGATTGAGCTGCCAGTCGACACTTGCTGACAATTTGAATGCAGCAGCGTCGAAGGCAACGGAGGCTGCCATAAAAATGCCTCAAGACCTCAAAATGCTGGAAAATAAATATTAAATGTTCATTTCATTTCCCTGACTGGCTGACTGTGTTGCACACAGACAGTATTTCGTTTATTGTTGCTGTCTATCTCAATTTCCTTTCCCTCTCACTCCCACTTTCACTCTCTCTCTCTCTTTCTCGCACACACTCCTTCCTGTCAGTCCATTGGTGCCCCATGCGTAGTGTTGTGTTGATTATCTTGTAAATTTGTTGCACGTTTTGATGCAAATCCGCTTGTCATGTACACACAACAAAATTACACAAGTGATGTCATCACCTGCAGATACACAGAAAGTGTGTGTGTGTGTGTGTGTGTGTGTTTGTGTGTATTTGCTTATTGTCATCGCCTAGCATCTGTCTATATGTCAGATTTGGGCTAACTCTTGCCGCACTGCCGCCGCCTCCCATCTCTGAAAGCAACAGCAACAGCAACAGCAATAACAACACGCACAATGTCACAATTTTAAAAAGTTAATCTGTAATCCAAGCAGGTTGTTTCCAGTGCCCTACATGCGAGTGTGTGAGTAAGTGTGAGTGTATCTGTATCTGTGCATCTCACTTAATTTGTAAGTGCAGCTCAATGGGCATACAAAACAATGGCAAGATAACAACGACAACGGCTAAGACAGAACAATGTCATCTAGAGATGGTATAAAGAAAAATCGCATTGCAGCTCAACTGCTCATCAGCATTACTACTGTCTTATACTTTCTACATGGTATGTATATAAATCCCTTATGAAGTTATAATAAAGAAATAGTAGACCATATAAAAGTTCCATTGCAATGACAATTAAAATCGATTTGACACTCTTGAGAAACATTTGTTTCCCAGAAATTCTCTGTGATATTTCAACTTGAATGTCGATTCATTTTTAAAGACGATATCAAATAATATGATTAATTTCTTAATTAAATATATGCTAATCAAAACAGTAAGTTCAGGCAGAATTTTTCCTAAAACTACGATTATTTTTAATTGTCTTCAGCTCAGTGCTTCATATGAGAAGCGCAGAGGAGGGTCGTAATTGCGATTAAGTCATTGAATGAGTGTATACAGTAAGTACTTGTGATTTAATCAGCTTTCGGTGCTAAAAAATATTTTTCAAACATATGCCGCTACACTTTCGGAGCTCTTGCGAGTATATACATTTTAAAATAACATTAAGTGCATGATCTACACTTTCTCACCCCAAATCATTGGCGAGATAAAACAAAATTTCAGTTCCATCCAAATTATTACCATGCGAGCAATGGTTAATAACGTTATTATCATGTTACAGAAATTATTCAGATTAACTTCTTAAAGTATCAACAATAATAAGATCTGCGCGATATATCCACAACCATTGAAAGTCTTATAGATCGGCATGTACAGCACACGACAACACCCTAACCATAAACAATGGCCAGCAGCTGAGGTGCCTTAAGAGGTCTTTAACAAGATCTCGCATTAAAATATTCATCTTTCAAGGTTTAATTAAATAAGATTAAATAATTGCCCAACTCCGAACATGTTTTTAATAAAGAATATCCGGTAAAAAATAATACTCTGCTTGCATAACTTTGTTCTCCCACTTTTATGAAGAGTCATCGTACAGGCTGAGTATATCGTGAGTTTTTGATGCTCACGCCATTCACGCTCCTCCCTAAGCGACAGCTGATGTACGAGAAGTTGGCTGGCACGTCGATGCGTTTTGATCGCGTCTACGTGTGCGACGACCTACGCAAATGTATCTGTGAGATGCTTGTGACGTAACAGCAACGGCAACTTTAATGCTGCCGCTGACAACGACGACGACGCCGACGACGACGCCAACGTTGACGCCAACGCTGATGTTGACGACGCGTTACTTTTACCACTTTAAGCGTGCGCTTCGCTTCTTTACCGCTCGCTTATGGTCTTTGTTTTTGTTGTTGTTGTTTATTTTTTTGGGCCCGTCGCCTTGGCTTATTTATTGGTTGCTCGGTGCGTTGGAATTTGTGGCTTTTATCTCGTTTGGCGTGTAAACAGGTCACTTGTAGCCGCTTTCGAGTGCACTGCCGCCACCAGAAACAGATTTCCATCACCCCCTCCCCCCCTCCCCCTTCCACGACTGCCGATCGTCTTGCGACCATCCAAAATCGACGCCTTCGACGGTCGTCATCGGCAGCTCGAAACTGACCTCAATTAAATGAGCAGAGCTCTCACTCTTTCTCACTCTTTCTCACACTTCTCACATTTCTCACCTGACGCTCCACAATGACCACAAAAATTGAAACGCGTTGCCAGCAAATTCTTTCAGCCGACAATTACAGCAACAACAATAACAACAACAAACTTGCGGCAAATGTAAAATTGAACTCATAAACAATGGCAGGAAAAATCATTTCATATTGTTGTGCAATGTAAAAATGTACATACAAGTATTCCCAAAAATGTTGTTCAACTGTAAGTTGGTTTTGTTGTTGCTATTGGTTTTTGTTGCAAGTTCTGTTAATACTCTGTCCGCAAAGGCTTGGCCAATTTAATTTCGCTAAATGCTTTTAGTTGTACATATATACTAGTGTGTACGAATTTCTCAGCCAGACCTAGAGAAATCGAAGCTCAATCTCAGACGCCCAACAATTATTATATAGCTTTAATATTTAGTGTCATTGTCAGAGCAGCATTCCAGCAGCAAATTACAAAAAGAAGCCAATACTTATTATCTATATTTATACCCAACCTCAGAAAAGTCAATGGAACGCACCAAAATTGTAATTTTCAAACTATGATACCTTTGCGATACAACAACTTTAATTACATTTAAAAAAGTCACCAAAAACAGTCCATCTTTTCGAAGCAGTACTTGAATTAACATCCACATAGTCCGAAAAGTTTACATTCTCTTGAATCCAACATTAACAGCACTCGAAATTATAAAACAGCATGCGTTTAGTTATAAAAATAAATCTGTAACACTCATCCTAGTAGTTCTGATAACGTGAAAGTAATAATATTTTCGAATAATTTACAATATACGAGTATATGGGAAGACCCAATCGATTAGAGCTTTGACTCTTTTAAGGGCATCCCACAATCTGTTTCGTTTCGATGTTACATTTTCAATTTATTTTATTTTTGGTTTTGGGACTTTTTTGTTTTTAGCTTACGATTTGTTTGTTGTTGGTTTCTAATAATTTTTGGCTATTTTCAATATTTTATTTATGGCACATTTTATCTTTTGGACGACGAATTGTTTTTATTGTTCGTCCCAGTTGTTGTTATTGCTGGCGTAAAACAAATATTTGCTCTCGTAACTATGCCCTGCATGTGCACGAATGTATGTGTGTGTGTGTGGATGTCCATATTTACATAAGTTATTTGAAAACAAAATGTAAACAACAATCCATATTTAAATAAAATAATAAGAGCTACAATTTGTTGCTACAAATGACACTTGAAAAGAGACAGAAAATAAAACGCATCAACAATCTAATATCTGAAAACCCATTTAAATGTTTCGCACAAAGCGTCAATTAAGAAGAAAAGAGTGTACGAGTGTACGAGTAGAGTACGGAACTGCCAGTACAATGGCGATGCTTTGTTAAATCTTTTTTCAATAGTAAGTTGTGAGATAGAAAATACAACAGCAGTTCTTTTAAGAACTAATCGTCTCATAAGAAGCATTTATCCCAATTATCGGGAAGAAATCAAAATCTGCTTGAAATTTTAACGAATTTAAAGCATTTAAAAAAAAAAACATAATACAAAGTAATGCTTTACCCCATTTCTAATGGATGACATAATACATCAAAGAAAATCTCAAGAGCTAGACCCATTCGACATTATTCAACAAAACCTAGCAAAAGTAATTTTTTCAACAATTAGTACTCAAATATGTTTTATAATAATTGTAGCGCAGAAAAAAAATCTAAAAATTTGGAGACAAAGAAGACCTATCAAGCATTTTAGGGAATGAATGGATGAAAGATTGTCTGTAGAACTTATAGACGGCTTTAAGGTGAAACACACATGAAGTGCCGGAGTCTTAAATCTTTTAAATAAAAAACCAATTCCACAAAGTCGCCAGAATTGCGGAAGTTATGCAAAAGTCACTAATTGTTCTTTCTGGATTCAAGGAGAACCTGAGCATTAACTTTGGTTTTTCAAGCTCTAATACACTTCGAGATGCATAGCTATATCGTCTTATACTCGTCATGTCACACTCATCAAGAAAGTATGCGCTTTGTGAGGTGAGACCAGCCTTCTTATGTGTTACATACACACTCACTAAACTAAAAAAGCCTTTGGGTATTAAAAAATATAAATATTTACTGTAGTTTTTTTTTTTAAATGGGAAAAATATTACCAACCATGTCTTAAGCAAAAAATGTGCAATATTTTTTATGCAAAATCCGTGTTTATTTTCGAGTATACGATTCCTATACTAAGCACTGGACTGGCATGGTAATGAAAAAAAATAAAAAAGATAAGTAAGTCACAAAACGAATATTTTGTACCATAAATCTCACAAAGAAAATATGTTCGCTTATATTTTTGATTTTAGTTAAGTCTTCGAACTGAGATTATTAAGCTTGCTTTTCAATTGAACAAACCGTACAATTTAGGCTTAAGTCCCGTTGCTAATGAGAAATCTGACTGGCTTGTTAATATATATTTTGTCCATCTTGTGATTGTAATTCCCCTTGACGGTGCGGGGGAGGAGAACAAACTTTTCGTTTGCTTTTACGAGTACGAGTATTTTGCTCGTTTATATTTCCCTATATACTCGTATTTTTGTTCAAAGCTTTTATTTCCTATTGGTATAAATCCGTATTTGCACAAAGGGGATTTAGTTGAGTTGTGTGCGCTTTTTCGTTTGAAGTGGCTTCGCAAACAAGATTGCATTTTGCATGCTGCTAAAGTTCATTATAAATTTATATTGAATTCCGATTATTTACAAGCGTGCAGCTTCGATTTCAATTTGTAATCGAACTCGACCCTGTGTGCTCTCCTTTGCAAGGAAAAACAAATTTTGTTATTTATGAATTTGTGGTGCAGAATGCGTTCAAAATACAAGACGGAACACATTGAAAACATTTCTGACGGCACAAAGTTAGTATGGGAAAGCAGTCGTACAAGCTGCTGTGAAGTAAATGGCGGTTTAATGAATAAAATGTGTCCTTAGCTAAGGAGAGACCGAGTAAGTGCAAGTAACGAGAAATATTGAAACTCGTCTGTTCAATCCATTGAAGCACAAACGATGCAAAAGGCTACTTTGTCCTTTTACAATTTTGGGTGCTGTGTATATTGAGTGATAATGGCAGCTAGGTGGCCGAGAAGGAGAGAAAAAACTTCATCAAATCCTTGAATTTCTGTAATATACGAACGATCCTTTCCCCAAAGTAAAAATGTTGAATCGCAGCAACACACTGGTAGGGAGTTTAGCGTTCGACTTGGAAACGATTTTTTATTTTTGGAGTCAGTTTGTTTGAAAATCTCTGAAGTAAGTAATTCTTATAATGTCTGCTCCACAAACAGAGGACAACAACGAAACCGAGAATGCGAACGAATTGGCGCCAACATCTTCTGATACTGGGAACGAGGTGCAGCCACAACTGATATGGAATCCATATGAGAACTCGTGGAGTTGCTTTCAACAGCTTTTTGCCACCAAGTGGAACCAGTTGCTGGTTCGTTTCACTGCCAGGTTCCCCTCTCTGGTAAATGCATGGCAAACCTATCAAAAGCTTAGCGGAATACTGCATCCCTCGGCCGAAATGCTGAAGAATGGGACGGAAACACCCAACTGGGATGAGGTGCCCATTAGATTTCTGGCGCCTCATCCCAAGCTGAACTGGATGGCCCTGGTTACGGGTGAGGACAAGGTGCTTCTCTTCTACGACGACGATCGAATGCCCACTTGTGTTGAACATGTACAGCAACAACATGTCAGCTGCGTCGTCTGGCGTCCTTCGGTCATCACCACCTGGGCCGTGGGCTGTGCAGCGGGCATTTTCATTTGGCTAGATGTGGGTTGCACTAAGAGTATACACGGTTCTCCCATGTATTTGCTGAGCAACAGTGGACACACTTTTGTGACGTCCGTGCAGTGGAATAGAGATGGCAGCATATTGGCCAGCGCAGCCTTGGGAACCGCCTACATCCTGCTCTGGGATCCTGACGATGGCTCATGCTTGAACTCGCTACCTTTTCCCAACAACTGCAACACCGGCTATCGCATCCTAAGGTACAGCCCCAGGTACACTTGGATATTTTGTGCGGCTCAGGGGGTGGGCGCCAGCATGTGGCATATCGGCTCTAATGAATGGAGGCTCCAAGAGATCAGAGTTAAGGGATCAGTTCAATCTGCCGCCTGGTCGGCATGCGGCTCCTTTTTGTTCCTTTCTATGAAAGACTCGACACGCCTTTATGCCGCATATTGCGAAACATCCGTATTCCGAGGTGTCAAGCCAAAATGGAAGGCTCGATTTTTAATCAACTTAGAGCGCGTCCCATTCGGGGGGAGAGTATTTGATTGTGGTGTACCGCAAGCTATTGCCATTGATCCTGGTAATATCTACATGGCCTTGATTTTCAGGGACAGACCGTTTGTGTTTCTATTTATTTTGATCGCTAGAGATCCGCTGGAGCTCTGGCCGGCCGACATCAAACAACCAAGTCTTTCGGGAGCATATCCGGTATGTGTACGCTTTAGCAGCATGAAAGAGACTTCACGGATACTAGCTATTGCCTGGTCCACTGGGAATGTCGAACGATGGTTGCTTACACCAGACTATGTGCTCGAACACCTCAATGATATTTGGGTAAAGCCGCCACAGTGACTCACAGAACACACGTTAATTAAGATTAGATATTAATTTCCACATTTCTGAAGTAGTGTATGTATTGGTTGAGATATTTTAGTTAAAGGCCGATTGCTGAAAATAAAATTTTTGAAAATAAATTCTTATCAAAGAGCAATGGAGCATTGATGAGTTTATATGCTGGTCACAGCTACAACTGTTTCGTTAGGAACGCATGACAAAACAAATGTGTAATTAGTGCTGAACGGAACAACTGGCGCCCAACGTGGGGCCCGAGTGCAAGCACAGGATATTTTGCAATGCATATGCGTAGTGTATATCAAAAAATGGTGTACACATTGAAACTCCTTAATTGGCTTTTAGAATTGTAGTCAGTCTCTGATGCATTACGGGGTGCCTACAATGGAAGTTGCAGGCAATAGTTGAGACACACATACGAGTATTGGTTGCAGTAGCAAAGCATGAAATATTCAAATTTCTTTTCTAATTTGACACTTGCTAATAAATGCAAAAGCCACAAAGGGCGACAGAAATAACCAAGCAACCAACAAGCACAGCAACAGCAGTACCAACGACAACAACAACAGCAACAAAAATGACTACAACAACAACGACTTCATCAATGTCAATGCGGGTGTGTAAAGTGAAAAACTTGTGCACATTTAAAGCCAAAAATATCTGAAGAGGACGAGCGAAGAGAAAAGGCAATTCGTAGTTCTGCTGCTGGCTGGGGAGCCATAAAGGGCTCTCGCTGTGAGTCTCAGTCCCAGGCTTAGTCGCAGTCAGAATCAACATCAGCATCAGCATCAGCCTCAGAGTCAGAGTCAGACTCAAAGTGAGATTCGGATGCATGACAAACTTAAATGCAATAAACAAGTTGACAACTCTGACAATTTTGACAAGAGAAACATGTTAAATGCTCAAAATTATGACAAGCACACAAACATGGCAGCGCACAAGAAGGAAGAGGAACAGACGGAGACAGACAGACAAACCAGCAGACAGCATAAATAATAAGTAATAAGCAAATACAGGCACACACACACACACACACCCACACACAGTCGCAGTGAAACACACACATGCGCGTGCAGAGAGCAACGGAAAGATATGGCATGTGTATCTTATAGATGCGAAATGTTTGCGCTCGAATACTTTTGCCAGGGAGGCAGGCATAGAACGCACTGGGCTTAATTACTTACAGGCAGACACACACACACACACACACACACACACACACATAAACGCAGAGAAAGCCAATGCCAAAGCGGCAACTGGCAGCCAAATGGCAGCAGCCAGAAGGCAACAAATGTTGCCAATCCCCAGAAATCCTATCCTCTTTCCCATCCACCATCCCCCAGCCCCCAGCCCCCATCCACAAACACAATCTCAACTAACAGATTGTATATCTCTGTGTATCTGAGAAGTGCTCTACAAACTATAAAAGCATAAATGTATGGCAACAGCAACAACAACAACAACAACAGCAATGGAGCTGCAGCAGCAACAGTGCCAAGTGTAGTAGAATTCTTGAAAATCACATAGAAAGCCACTTTTAAAATATGGCTGCCTGTTGTTTTTGTTGTTGCCGCTGATTATTCTCAAGTTTTGTCAAAGACATGCATATGTATGAGGACGTGCACCCACGCACTTACAGTCCCCATCGAGACTGTGAGATTTTTAAGAGCAACCATTACTCAGAAAAAACAATTCAAGTCATATTTATTTTGGTACTGTCCGCACAATGTTGAGAGCTATATTAGCGGCTGATTAGGAAGTGATTATCCTAAATTAAATTCCATTTTCGTTACTTAATACTGTTGACAACATTATTATTAATTTATTTTTTATTATTGTTCAATTGTTTGCATAAGTGTTAATGGTAATTTATTCAAATATATATGTAATATATATTTTTTTTATTTCTATGTATGCTAGTTCAAATTCTTATTTAAAGCTAATGGCATTTATTACTTTTTTTAAAAGTATGCTCAAAATAAATGTGACGTTCACTTCGTTTATAACAATTTTAATTTTTCTAATTCATTATTTTAGTTTCATTGCTTGATTCATTTTCATTTCTCTGGTTTTCAATTAAAATATATATTGAATATATATTTATAAACATATATTCAAAATACTTGTATATTTAATTTTTTATTTATACTCGCGTACGCAAATTTGATGGAGTTGTTATTAAACATTAATTTGAAAGTTCCTTGAAAATAAAAATTTCTTCCATTTACAGTACATTCTTTAATTTTATTGTATTATTTAATCTTTTTTAATATTCTATTTTTTCAATTCCTTCAGCTAATGTTAGTATTATTGTTAGTATTATTTGGGAATAATTTAGAGTGATTTATTATAAGGTTTTGATTTTTTTGTGTTACGCTCTGCTTCCAATGCTGGTCGTTGGCTGCAGCCATCAAGTATTTGGAGCTGTGGTTGCTTTAAAAATCTTTATAAGGGTCCCATTCATTCATCGATAACAGATCGACATTGGCTTAGCTTAGAACTTAAACCCAAATCCTAGTGTCTCAAGGCTAGCGGCAGCGCTGCAGACGTCGAGCAAGGTCGGTTTACGGTTTCTTCTGCAGACTCGGTGTAGGGGCGTTGGTGTTGTTGGGTTCTTCCAACTTACTCAGCCGGAAGGCACTTCTATTGTGTGCCCAGTGCTAGCTTATACTGTAAGTTCAATGCGTTTGATTTTATAATATTTGGGTATTTCTTTTGATACGAGTGTTGTTAGTGATTTTATTTGTAAAGGAAGTGTGCATCCAATTCCATTGATTTCCTTGCAGGCAATTGGGACTGTAGGGCAGTACTCTGCCCACCCACATGCTCGTATCTCTCTCTCTCTTTCTTTCTGTGTGTGTGTGTGTGTGTGTGTGTGTACATTTGCACATCACTTGGGTGTTTTTACTGCCACACTGATAACAAACAGCAAAAGTTTTTACCAGTAGTAGCACACAACAACAACAACAAAAACAGTGGCAGCACAAAGAAAAAATTTGAGGAGGCAAGCCAAGTACAGTTGCGGCATTTGCCGTTAGCTGCCATTGTTGTTGTACTATAATTTTTTGGTTTCTTTTTGTTTTGTTGTACTTCAACGCCTTTGGCTGTTTTGCAAATTTATTTGCAACTTGGGTGAAATTGATTTACAAATTTACGGCCGCATCGTGCCTTGCCCACAATTGTGGGCCCAACAAAGGCGGGCGAAACAAAAGCGATGGCAACCATGGCAGCGAACAGCAGCCAACAGCAGCCTGAAAAGCAGCTTGAAAATGAGCTACACTGCTCGTATCTATAAGATACGGTATCTATACTTCACCCTTTTTTGGGGAGAGCGAGCGAGCGAGCGGGCTTACAAATTATGACAGTCGACGATTAAATAATTTTATTTGTTCATTGTGGCTGCCGGCAGCTAGCTTACTTCTTTTGTTGTTGTTGTTGCTGTTGCTGCTGTTGTTCGTGTTGCTGTTGTTGTTGTTGCTGCTTGCTGGTTGCTGCCATTACAACGTCAACAACAATAAAACGACCAACGTGTGACGCTCGATGTTGATCGGGGCCGTTGCTGCCATGGCTGCTGGCGACATTTGTTTGCGTTTTAATTGTTTGTTTTTATTGAAAACGCCGTGTTATTGTAGCGCTAATAAAATTATGCAAAAGTATGTCATAGACACGCACATATCAGTGCACAGTGAACAGTGAATAGGCAGACAAACAATCTCACAGATACGCACAACACACTCGTAGATATTTTCTATATACTATTGTCCCAATTGTCTATTGATTACGCAAAACACGCAAAACGCTTCAACATTTTCAGAGTGCACTAGAAACAAACAAACCAACACACATATACACACACACACACAGAGTGAGTGCAAGGCAAGGGGGCGGGGGGATAGTGCGAGGGGCGTGGCGGCAAAGAGGTAGAAAACTGAAAAGCTCGAGGCAAATTGGGGCTCAACAAATCATGTTTGAAATGAGCGACAATTTGAATAGAAATTATGAGGAGATTCGATGGGAAAAAAGATAGTATAACGAAAGCCAACAGGGGAAGTACAATTATATAGTTGAGCGCACAAAGACAAATTGTGCGTTCAGTTATACTATATGATGTGGTGGGAATTCATTCCTAACTACTCACATACATTTTGCAATAACAACGAATTTCTCCAATATTAGCGCCGGCCATCGACAATTTCAACATCTTACACTGAACGATAAAACAAATAGCTACGAAGCTTAGCGATAAACGAAATCTCCCTCTCTCTCTCTCTCTCTCTAACTAAACGTTTTGAGAGTCCTTTTTATAGAATGTATTGCTTACTTCTATCTTTTTAGTAGAAGGAGTAACGATTCTGATACCTTAACTTTCTTATAGTGTATTAACTTTATTTACTAATTTATAAATAATTCTCTATTCAGCTCTGGGCTGAAGGAACTACTATTTGGGTCCCTTGTGGAGTCCTTCCATAGAAAATATAAGCCCTTATATATGTTCGTTTGTTAAATCAATACGCTTGTTCTTTCGAAATATAGCAAATTTTTATACATGGTATAGTATTCTTTGCTAAAAAGGAAATATAATCAGTATTCAGATTCAAACAAAACAGATAAATAACTCTGAATTTTTTGATTAAAAATGTAATTGTCTTTTGTAATAATAATGACTTACTTGTGACTCATTTGGCTTTTAAAAGTTTGAAAAAACGAAGCCATACTCCTAAATAAATTCACACAATACCTGATATCTGAAAATAATAAGAAACAGTCAAGCTAACGAAAAGATTACCGTATTAGGAAAACAAATAATTGTGATAGTTTTAACTTCCTGGATCTACAGTTGAACATCAAGTCCACCTGGCCACAATTTTTGCTGTCAGTTCCACAGTAGTTTGAGTTTTGATGAATAATTAGTTTCCGCTGTGGTTTTATGGCGTGTAAATCCATAATCAGTTTTGATTTCTTTATTTGTGTTTCTTAGTCGCTCATTATATTCATGGGCA